TCTTTGGATGGCCCCATATCACCTTAGTAGCCTCCACTGCTTACTCACATGGGTTTTCACTATTCGGAATAACCATCCCCTTTCACATCCAATGAAAACCAATCCCCGAAGGGAAAAAAACAAACGCACATTTACATAGAATTTTATATAATAACCTCCAGGAGTCCACACATCCTGCAGACTAAAGGAGCCCTTATCTAGTGGAATAAGTTTATGAGACACTTTTCTCAGAGTATCAGTTAAGACAAACTCCCTCCATGGTTTGGCCAGAGTACTGCCCAGTCCACTGCACTTGTGTGCACTGTCAGCCTTATTTCTACTCACCCTGGTGCTGACAGTCACAAACCCAGGTTCTGTTGGTTAAAGACCCACAATTCTAGTGCTGCTTTTTAACTGAAAGAATTCTAAATGTTGGGGACAAAGAAAAGAGATAAATACCCTACTAGAAGTCAGGAAAGCTGGCTTCTCATTTCAGGCATTATCTCCTGCCTTATCTTACCTGCTTGCAAAGCTATCATACCCTCGGTGAGAGAGAGACAGTCACTCAGACTGCACTACCGTGAGAGCTCCTCAACAAAGGGCAGCATGGGCAGCTGCGGGCTGAGCTCCATTTTCCAGGTTCTCCACCATTAAGCTGCAACTCATTCTTACGTCAGAAATCCTAATATTTTTTATCATATACATTAATAAAATTAAGAGGACAAAAGTGTTTTACCTTTAGACAACTTATTCTATGAGAATGCAAAAAATACTAATGAACCAATTTTCTAATTTTGCTTCCTTGCTAGATCAGCAAGGAAGAATGCAGATGGCATCTCTACATTCTCTTGGTAGAATACTGTGGCATCACAGCTCACAGCAACCTCAAGCTCTTGAGCTTAAGCAATTCTCTTGCCTCAGCTTCCCAAGTACAGAGGCCCACCATAATGCCTGGCCATTTTTTTTTGTTGTTGTTTAGCAGGCTTTTTTTTGTTGTTTTTGTTGTTTAGTTGTCATTGTTGTTTTGCAGGCTGGGTTCAAACCCACCAGCCCCGGTGTATGTGGCCGGCGCCCTAACCACTGAGCTACGGACACCAAGCTGAGAATATCTTTTTATTAAACAAAAATATTTAAGACATTGTAGTTTTTTGCTTTTTTTCTTTTGGTTTTGTTTGTTTGTTTGTTTTTTGAGACAAAGTCATACTCTGTTGCCCAGGCTAAAACACTGTTATTAGAAACCATTTACTATTAAAAAACAAAAAGATCTGGCAGTGCCCATAGCACAGTGGTTCTGGCAGCAGTGGCCACATGCACCAATGGTGGCAGGTTTTAACCTGGCTCAGGCCAGCTAAACAGCCATGACAACTGCAACAACAACAAAAAAATCTGGGCACTGTGGCAGGCACCTGTAGTCCCAGCTACTTGGGAAGCTGAGGCAAGAGAATCTCATAAGCCTAAGAATTCGAGGTTGCTGTAAGCTGTGATGTCATGGTATTCTACCCAAGGCAACACAGTGAGAGTTTGTCTCAAATAAATAAATACAAAAAGATCTATCCATTAGTTTTACAATTAACAGTTATGGGCTCGGCGCCTATAGCTCAACCGGCTAAGGCGCCAGCCACGTACACCTAAGGTGGCAGGTTCGAATCCCCAGCCCGGACCT